AAATAATAATACATATAAATTGTGAAAATATCATTTGATAGAAAGTGTGTCTTTAATTTATCCTCAGAAAAAAATATGAATATTTGCAAAGGCAATAGCATGTTTTGGAGTGGTATTTGGGATAGACAAATACCACGCATGATATTTCAAATTGTCAAACAAAAATTCTCAAGATAAGCAAAATTTCTGACAATTTTGAAATATCACAAGTGGCAATTATCCCAAATTCCATGTACAAAAAATTCTATATTTGTTTATAAAATGGTTGAACAAAATTGTGCGATGTGAAATACCATTATTAAGTATAAATACCTCTCCTCTAAGCCAATCAAATTGCACTATTTTATTCAATCATATTAAAAGTCAATGAATGTCATAATTGTCAACAACACTGCCTTGTAATGTTAACTGGTGAACATGACTTCAATCCTAGCATTTCCCTGACCAACATCTCAAGGCTTGGTTGTAACAACAGATCAATTAACAGTTATATAGAGTGCGCGTCACATAAGCATGAAACAATTCTTAACTATGTAGTGCTAAATAAGATTTAGTTATCAACTAACTATGAATTGAGAAAAATGCTACAAAGGAATTTAAATTATTAGCATTGTGTTTATGCTTTGTTGAATTCTTAGTTGATAACTAAATCTTATTTAGCAATACTGTACATATTATTAAGAATTGTTTCATTCTTATGTGACGTGCACTCTATAATTTTGATTGGTTTTATCATCAAAGCTCTGTAATATACACATGTACTCCTTCAATGAGCAGTCATAAATGAAGGTTATATGTGACATTTGTTTAAAAAAAGATATAGTATAGAGGAAATGCAGAAAACCATGAAATAAAATCAAACAAAATACTAACAAATAGCTGGTATTTAGAGACAATTTGTCAGTGCCAATGAACCAGAACATAATGAAAAGGAATCCACATGGGGCCATTTTTAATAGCCGACTTGCAAGTTTTGCATCAAACATCAYACACAAAGTAATGAATACGAGGCGCCATGTATTACGCTCAGTCATTTGTGAAAAGACAATAGTTTTCGCAACTGACTGAGATTTACGCACAGTGCCTCGTCTTGATTCTTTTGTGTTTGAATACTGAAGTAAAATTCGTAAATCAGCTATTCAACTTGATTGCATTCTGGTTCATTGACACTGACAATTTGTCTTTAAATAGCAGCTATTTGTTAGTATTTAGTTTGGTTTTATTTCATGGTTTCCATGCGTTTGCTCTAAAACTAGCTGTAAAGACTGATTGATCAAACTGATACACAACAGAATTGGGCTGTGTTATAAATGACTATATGGCTAGACCTTTGTAGCCTCTAGCTTGTGAAACTTTTCTTTAAAATTTCAAAAAAAATTTGCACACTGCAATTCACATAGCCAGTTGATGTCTGTTAAGAATTATTATTAGCATCATRTCAAAAATCTCCTGTAATCTGGAAACATTTTCAAAGGTTACARTGCTTATAAAAAAAACAACAACAACAATATGCTTACTTAAATATGATTAGTAAATGAAATAATCATTAGATATAGTGCATGTATAACAGCCACATAGTACAATAAATTGCAAATTGTATTTCTCATATTTATGTTTAGGAWGTTGATCTCTGGCTAGGAAATCATGAATATATTCTATTAACGAAAATGAATACAATCAAAGATGCAGTNNNNCACCCATGTCATCTAAAATGCATTGCTATGTAAATAATAATGTGATATCGCTAACCAAGAAGTAAAGAGCTTCCATAGATATTATTACAAAATCACATTGCAAATGTAGGACAATCACTATAGCAAAAAGATTGCCTGCGTCTCGTGCGTACTTTTTTGTTTTCACTACATTTTGACGTCATCTGTGTATCTATTAGAGTACACACGCACGGAAAAATGAGATCTATTTGTTAATTATAGTTACGTCATAGTCACAATATTCATTGGAGATAATTTTATCTTGTATTGAAAATCTTTTGCTAAGCTAGCCCGCATTACGCTTTACAAGCGTCTAGTTAATCATATATTTAATCTTATTTACCTACACGTGGTTATTCATGAATACCTTTGCATAAATATCACAAAAATTCAGGTTTACTCAAGCGAATTGAACTACTTGGTTAATTTAGGCAATGCATATCGCTGGTTTGACTATTAATGCACATCCTTAAAAAAATATTTTCAGTTTAAGTTTAAAACTGTGAGAGAACCTTTTACGTGTACATAAGTCACGTGTACAAGCACAACCATATATGGAATTCGTACGACAGATCCTTCTACATTTGCCAACTTGGATCTGAGCTGCCTGAAAGTAGCCTGGGGACAAGATCGCACCATATTGGTTTTGACTATATTAGGACGTTTTGCGAACAAACGCAAATTCGTGCACATCCAAAGTATCAAATTCAAAAACTAAGCAATCTGAACTAATATAACTCAAGATTACTCTTAACAAAACCTGAAATATTAGGGAAAACGCCTTTTTACATTTTGAGATATTGGCATTTCAAAACTACAAAATCTATAGGAAACATTAAGCGGTGGTTGTCAACATAATACCAACAACGATCATTTCTTAGCTTTAGAAAATCTTGCGAATTCGTCGCTTAATACCTCTTAAGATATTTAATCAATTGCCTTCAAATTTCAGGAATTGCTAACAGGTATGAGCTCTAGCCTTTCATCATTATGGGCTTGATTTTCTTGCGACCTGAAATTCGATTTCGACTTTTGTGCAAATTAGCGAAACTGCACCTGAAATTTGAAATGAAACGTACTCAAAGTGCGCATGCTTTCTTTAGAATGATACGCTCCTCCTGTGCTTTTGCAATCATAAARAAATACTTAATTAATTTTTCTATTATTATATTGAAATATTAAWTAGATATATATTAACGCTTGGACTCGAAAAAGAAAACTCTCACTACATTTGCTACGCCATAAGTTTTTTATATTACATTCAACAGAATAATACATTGGCAAAAATTGTAACCCGTTACAGCGGGTTCGCCAACCCGTTACAACCGTTCTAACGGTTAAAGCAGGTTACAATTTTTGCCATTTTTGTTGCGGAGCAGGGTTGAATAAAATTGTGCACTTAGAGGAGTGGTATTTAATAGTGGTATTACAAATTTTATTCAACCATTTTATAAACAAATAATAGTTGGAGTTACATATTATAACCATGTTTTGTACGTGGCATTTGGGAGAAATAACACTTGTGACATGTTGTGATATTTCAAAATTGTCATGAATTCATGAATTTACTATATCGATCTATTAAGTATTTTAATTGAATGGTTGTTAGATATCAGTATATTAAAATTGTAGCAGGAATATGCTTTTAATACCAAGAAATACAAAATCATGCTAGCCTGCACTGCTGCTTACATTTGCATGAAAGAAAGCAAACGAAATATTAATTATTGCTGACAGCAGAATAAAAAACATAGATGAATGAAGCTTTGAAGTTTTTCTTGTTGTTCTGCGAAATRACGGCATACTGTTTTTTGAAAACGTTTATGATTGCGCACGACTTGTTAACCTGAAAACGCACTTGGAAGATATCTCGCTTCTGGTTGGACAATAAACATAACATTCCAAAAATATTTCTAGGCAKTCACAGTTTGTCTTTATGCCAAATGATGCACATGACGTCACAACATCTTTTTTTTTAAACACCTCACTTGACGCTTAGGATTATTGTCGCTGAAGGAGGGCATAACTGATAAACACCATAGCTACATGAATTAAACAAATATGATGTCACTGGAACTTCTAAAAATATCAAATTGACAATTTTGGTTTTGAATAAGATATTGATACATCAAAGCACAACGGAAAACCAAGCTTATTGGATRAGAGTAGTTGTGTTTATTCATGTCACTCTCGAATGAACTTTATAATCACATCTCAGTAGGTTCAGAATGTTCATCGAAGCTAATATCAATCAATCAAGTTTGTTTACGATCATGAAACGGCATACACATTTACCTTTGATGATCTGTTAATCTTTAATGAAGTTAACTTGATGTTCCCAGTCCATTGTCCGAGTGGTTAATAAATCATCCGACGAGGTGCTGGAAGTTTATTCTTKTGCTGGAGGAGSAAAACATCACATGAGCTAAATGTCAGAGAAATGATCTCTTTAGCTTTGATGCAAACCTCCGTTCTACTTGTATTGGTCTTTGTTGTCATGCTGGTAAGTGAGTTTAATATTTTGAATAGCACGGTTGATGTATTTTAAAAGAAATGGCTACTATTAACTTATTTCGTACTATATATAAGTCTTGCATAGTTGTACAAAATGATGGTTTGTTAGTATGGCTCGGGTATTTATGAATTGTTGGCTTTCTTTCTGTTAAGGTCGCTGTACAAAGCATTCCTCTTCATCAACTCCACACCGCCATAGCGACAGATACTGACGACTTGCTGAGACTCTTTGAAACCAATTCTGCAGATTCAGGTTTGTATATAATTCCAAATCAGTGTAGCGAGAAGAAATTCGGGATAATAATATTGAAGACCTAATGTTTACATTATTGTGTAATTTGAGACTCACGGTGATGTCGTCTGACGTACGATAGTCAAGTTATCCTTTCACTTTATACATCCGTATATTCTAATATCAAATGGCTTAGAAAGCCACAATCCCTTTAAAGAATTGACTTTTAAAGAGTTTCATCCTTAAAAAAAAAAACACCAAGAGCTTCATTCTAGTTATTTGGTAAAACTAGGTGTTCTGAAAGGAAATGAATATAAAGATATGCAAAATACAAAAGCTCGGTTTTGAGTTAGAAACTTTGCGTCTATAGAGCTAATTCTGTTTAGAGGCAGTTAAGGAGAATATGTTTCCGTTGTTTGTTGACGATTTTGGACAGATTTGAGTAAACGCCAAACCTTAATAGTGATTGTATTAACATTCAAATATTTACCAAGGCACAAATATTTTACCTGAATTCCTCTTTTGAGCTATTATTTTTGAGCCCAAATTCAACCTCTAATCAATGAGCTGAAACAGTGACAGATCGAGACAGAACATGATTGAAAAGCTGAAATTAACTTCATGCCAAGTTAAATAGTCGGCCATGCCAAGAAGAGAAATTAAATCTCACTTCTCGGTGAACGCCGGGTCTCGCAAGATTTCGTAAGACATCAATCAATCGCCTTATTTTAACGATGGTTGAAAATATTTAAGCTTCGGTTATCTAGTACTTCACGACAAATAATATTTTTTGTACAGTGTGTCTTGTTTGTCTAAACGAGTCATTTGCGAAAATWATCAGTATGAAAGTTGATCAAAAGCGTTCCAGAAATATTAAAATGGGCGTATCGATTTCATTTTGACGTTGTTTCTATACATTTTTTTAAGTTTAAATAGAAAATATTTAAAAAAACATTATTTTTGGCTTCAAAAGAGTTTATAAAGAAAATTACTAGTTTTTTCTTATTAATGTATTGGTTTATCGTTCAGACAACTTGTGACTCTGGGAATCTTATGATGTGAGTTTTAATAAAAAAAATGGAGTTAGTGCTATAAATATTGTTATGTTGTTTTTTTTTAACAAGCTTTATTGTAATTTGGAATCTTCTCATTTGTAAAGAGCATTTGAGCTTGCCGATACTTGCGCTATATAAATCTTTCATTATTTTTATTATTATTATTATTATAACAACGGTCATAAACAAAACAATTGGACTTTGAACAACTTCTATTGCCTTATTTGGTGATGCTATTCCTAAATTACTTAGTAAAAAAAGCTCTGGAATAAAATAGAGAAACCTTTAGCAGAGCTTAATGTGTAAATACTTTAATGAGTCATCTTGGGTGGTGCGGGGTCGGTTTGAATAGACACAAAAAGCCTGTTTGTCATATATGAATGGAAAGAAAACATAAAAGATCTAGGGGGTGATTAGGATGACTAGACATTATCTATTTTAGAGAGATAGGAATTATGGTATAGTAAATAAAATAGATAACTGAGAATTTGAATCTGAATGGGAAGTGAAGTGTAGCGTTCATCTGGAAAACGAATTCGCAGCCCTAAAGCTATACATTTACATGTAATGTTTTTTTMTTGGTTTAGCCACCCTTTTTTGTGATATCTTGCAATGAATCCGCCACTGGAACCATGTTGTCGTTCTTGATATCTTAAAAAGTCGGCAAGAAAATGCTCCCATCATAGAAGTAACCTAGTACGGTAAATTTTCGGGCGGTATTCAAACCTGACAAAGCAAAATAGCGCCGAACAGCTCTTAATACAACAATGTTTGCGTTTCCAAAACATTAACAGTACCATAGAAATAAACTTAAAAGTATTAAAATTTCGGACTTTGGGTTGCGTCATCGGCGCGAAAATTCCCTAATCTGAAGACAAAGAATGCTGGCGACTGTGGGAGATTAACAATGCCAAATGACAGAGAAGATATAGTTTGATATCATGAAATTTATGAATCGGTGATAAAATTGTCGTCAGAATATCAAAATATTGATACACAGTAATGATGATCAGGTCTCTCAGACCCTGGCCTGGATCAGCACAGTTCCCCCCAATCACAACGAGAGATAACAATACTGGCCGGAACACTTTTTGCCTTTTCTGAACATTGTACTGTCACATTTTAGAAATGTGTTCCGACGACTGCCTAGGAGAATTTCTTTTTGCCCTTGCACTGAAAAATGTAATTTCTTGTTATCATTTTACACGCCCAAGTCTTCACGTCGCCTTCCTGATTTAGCGAGTCTTACTCAGCTGGATGATTTCAAGTGATTTTATTGTCTTTCACAAGATACCGGTGATGATTTGAAGCTGCATTTCAATGATTTTGCGAATTATTTATCGTTCTTCTTTTGTTTGTAAGGGATTCTATTTATAGAAAACAAGAGAACGTGTTATGTCATGTGATAAGCTCTTAGTCAAAGGCGAGGATCTTTTAAGAGTATTCAAAAGTCCCGATATAAAACTCTCACGAATTCTTTGTACAGTTTCTAGATCTCCAACTCGCAAAAAGTGAAATCATTATCGAAAAAAAGCTGAAAAATATGAAAGTCTCACTGGACTAGAATCATCGAAATTATGACTTATTATGACTTCTATAAAAGTCATCGATGCTTGTTCACACAAAACCATTTCTCAAAATCTGTCCAAAGTAGCGCAGAAACGCGCATGAAAACCTTACAAATTGTTTTTTAACACATTTTTTTTGTAAAATTATCGAAAATTATTCTTTTCTTTCAACTGAGCGTGCGTGTTCAGACGTAATGGTGTCAGCAGAGTGCGCATGTCCTCTTAAGGCACACAATGTCTAATCAGGCAATTAGAGCATGAGAATTCTCACAAGCGTCAAAAAAGATATCATTAGACTACATAGCGGCTCTAGGGGAGGGGAGTCGGAGAGGAAGGAAAAATTTCTCTTATCTTCATAGCTTTGCCCGATAATACGCATGCGCATATGATATTTGTGAATCTTCCAGGTTAACTGTTGTGTCCAATAATTATGTTATTGTATCTAAGAGCATTAGCCCTTGCACTAATKTAAAAACATTTTCATCGTTTTGCAAGTGATGCGTGGTCTGTACGTTTTTTTTCTTACTTGCAGTACCCGAGTATGAAGTAATACCAATTATTGCTGGACATCGAYCACGGCGTGACGTCGCTAAACCTAAACACCATTTCACCTTCTCTTCATTTGGAAGACACTTTCATTTAGAGCTTGAACCCAACGATGATGTAATATCTAAAAGTTTGGTTGTAACTATTAAGAAACCTGGTAATATTTGGACAAAAAAACTTTATGAGCCAATGGGAACATTTTATCAAGGTCACGTGGCTTCCGATCCAAAGTCTCATGTAGCCGTGCGAGAGGTTCAAAAGTCGGGGGAACTGGTGAGGAGACGGAACTAATTGAAAATACTTTTTAAAACTGTCATATTCTTTAAGGTGCTGTTATAGCAAAAATTCTCGAAAAAGGCTCGATGTGAGCCTCTTTATTTTGGAGATTTTCCAACTTGTTTCTGACGAGGCTTGTTTTGCTAAGGTCAAGTTGTTTGTTCATAGACTGGTGCAGTTCTAAGCGGGAATTACGTGTACAGACTGCATCCTCTTACTGATAATGTCAAAAAGAAATTATCGCTAAACAGCCATCAGGGCTATCACGTGATCACGAAAAAGAAGTTAAAACATACAGCAATCCCAGGATTCTTTCCCGAGCCAGTGCCAGGTAAGCAAGGCAGCCCTACTCCAAGTAATACCTAACAAACTTCGCCAKTAACTGATCGGCTGAYGTATCATATTGTTGATTAATGGWATTAAGAAAACGAAAATTATCAAACTAGATTGTTATTGTCATTATTTCTCGTATTCAAATGCAAGGTCCTGGTAAAATCACACACGAAAGGAATCGAGCACGCAGAAGTGTTGGTCCAAAATACATCGAGGCCATGATATTGCTTGACAAGGTGTCCAGTGATCACTATGGTAAAACAAGCATGGACTTCATACTTGCAGTTGCAAACATGGTAAGTTGTCATGTACGTTCACTATGTAAAGTACTCTGCTTGCTTGCTTATTTATTGATTGATTTTTCGATAGTTTATTTGTTTGTTTGTCAGGTTCACCGTCTATATCGTGACCCGTCAATTGGTATTGATGTTTCCTGGGTACTTACTAAAGTATTCATCATACAAACATACGAGGTAGGTTAACTATCCAGGCGGGGTAAGCTCAGGACTAGCTTGGAAGAAAACATTAGAAACTACCCAGGCGGGGTAAGCTCAGACTATAGCTTGGAAGAAAACATTAGAAACTACCCAGGCGGAGTAAGCTCAGGACTAGCTTGGAAGAAAACATTAGAAACTACCCAGGTGGGTTAAGCTCAGGACTAGCTTGGAAGAAAACATTAGAAACTACCCAGGCGGGGTAAGCTCAGGACTATAGCTTGGAAGAAAACATGACTGAGAAAATTATTCTTTGTGGAGGAATATTGTAACAGAATCTTGGTGGTCGGTCATTGGCATTTCCTCGTTGCAACACAAGCCAACATGGAATTAGAAGTGTACTCCAGGCAGAAATTCGTCTATGAATTTATCCGATTTTGAAAGTCTTATATCTGCATTTTACACAGCTTCACATTGAAGCATGGGTTCAAAGAAAAAAGTTAATTAGCGTCGGTCATTTTGTTAATGGGTCAGCGGTCAACCCTCACTAACCATCCATTCATTAATTTTTTTAGGAGGGTCTGGATTTCAACAAACAAAACATCAAGTCAGCTGTCCAATATCTCAAGGTCTTCTCTGATTGGGCTGCACCTAGAAACCCTGATGTTGGTACTCCCGGTCACTATGACAACGGTGTGTTGTTGTCAAGGTAGCCATTGATCTTCCTTGTCCTATTCATCTCAATTGTTTCACTAGATACTCAGGCAAATTGTAGTAAAAAAAAACATCCCTCATGCAACATTAGTCATGTTTTTACTTAACCCTATGCCTATGGATGATTTTTAGGAGAATATGTGGTCTTGAAAGCTGTTCTCTCGGTGGTAAGCAAATCATGATCATACTTCATGCTAATGCAATCTGATGCTTTGTGAATGCACACTCCGTCCACACCTACGCGATGATAACGTCAGATCATTCTGTATGTATTTGAGTTGGGATACCTGTGGACAGCTAAATCCGAGAGCGATAGTGTGCAAACCCTCATCGATGTGAGGACCTCTAATTTGCCTCTGGAATAAATTTTTACAGTTATATTTTCCAAGGATCTCGTGTTTTTAAGGTGGAAGTAATCTAATGATTATTATCAAATAAAACTACTTTTAGGCGTTGCYTATTCTGGTGTACCGTGTTCGACCAAGGCTGGGTWTTCAATTAATAACGGAAATGGTATTGACGCTGCTTTCTATGTCGCTCACGAAATGGGACACAAGTAAGTCTTAACGTCATACATGTTTTTAAGTATAATGTTGAATTATCTTGATCTGCGTTTCAGTTTTGGTATTCCACACGATTCAGGAGAATGTAATAAGRATTAYATCATGGATCCAGGTCAAGGAAACGGACCCAATGCGTTCAAGTGGTCTTCTTGCAGTAAACAAATGTTCAAATCAGTTTTCAGGTCAGATTGATAGATGTTCGTTAGTTACAATGGTTACAATGAATTAAACTGGACCTTACAAAATAATTGACCATAATCTGTTTTGGAGGCAGATTTTAGCAGAATCTTTTTTCAAAATTTTACTGAATTTAGAACAACAACAAATAATAATTATRATAATCGTACATGAGTATTTGCAATAAATTTAACGAAAATATTCTTCAACAATTCTACTGCTGAGTCCTYTACCGAAACTTTTCGCACACGAATGGAAAGTCCGGGGGGTTGTTTCTAGAGCTCATTGTGTTTTCTTGGTTGTGTAGTCGTGTTACGTGTTATAACGACAAGCCTCCCAAGCAATATGACTTTCCAACTATGTTACCTGGGTACAAGTATGATGCTAATGCTCAATGTAAGATGATGCAYGGTCCTGAATATAAACTGTGCCCCATAATGCAGGTAAACTTACTTTCTTCTGCTTGACCTATCATTAGAGTGATTTTCATCGGACTGTGAAATAGTTCCTACACTAATAGACGCTAGTAGACTCTACAGCCATTGCTTTCTTTTATTGTAATACAACTATTAGACACTATTGAACACTGACTAATAGTAATTGTTTCACAGTTCGATGAAAACCACTCTATTGAACGCCTTTCTATTTTGCACTAGTCAGATACGCCTATTTGCAGGATCCTATTTGCACAACAAACTTAGAAATAGAACTTTTGCTATTTAGGAATTAATCAAAATTCAAAATAAAGTGTGCAGCTTAGATGGCCATCTATTTTTGATGCATTCCTAAATCTCTAAATCACACGACAAGGTTTTTGTAAAAAGCAGTAAATAGAAAACAGAACTATTTGTGCTAACACATGCGCTCGTTATTATTGGTTGAATGTGTTATTTACTATCCTATGTTGCAATCAGATGTCCCGTCTATTGTTTTGAACTGTTTATTGGATTGTCTCTTTTAGAGCAATTGTGCACTTCTATTCTGCTATAAGAGTGGTGGCTGCAGTAGTGCTGGTACTCCGCCTGTTGATGGCACTCCTTGCGGCAAGAGAAAGGTTAAATCCACAATGCTTAAATTACATTTACCATTACAGTGGGAATCGTAAAACCGTGCCGCCTAGAAATATTTCGGAATGTGTACTTGAAAAGTGACTTTAGCTGACAACAAGAAAACATGATGAAAAACATAAATGGACAAACTTTGTGTTTATTCTAAACAATGAAATTGTACTATTTCTGAGATATTGCAGGCCGTTTTTTTAAAATGCACTTGATGACGGTTTCTGATTGGTCAATGAACAATAAACATTCCCGAAATATTTCTAGGCAGCCACGGTTTTTCGATTGGCACTGTAACATAACCAAGACGTTCTGAGATTGATTGATAGCTACATTCAAACGATACTGACATTTACAGAACACTCACTCCCTGTTTTCTGCTATCCGGCTTGCTGAATAAAACTTGCATTAATGATTTCTGCAAAACAGCATCAGTGAATATCATAAATCTGTGTTTATTATTCTTTTAATAATAGTAATTTGTAAAGATTCCACGTTTGTTGAAATCTGTTGATCAATAAAGACCTTTATTATTATTATTATTTCTAGTGGTGCATTGGCGGGAAATGTGAAGACGTCGGTTCCAGTCTCCCACCTTCTGTGGATGGTGCGTGGGGAGCCTGGGAAGGAGCTTACAGTAGTTGTTCGAGGTCGTGTGGAGTGGGGGTACAATACCGAACTCGTCAATGTAACAACCCAAAGTAAGTATAGTTTGACTTCTTAAGATTCTTATAAACAGTATCATAAAGAAAGCGCATGGCTTGTGTTTCGATCGAATACTGCGGTTATGTGCGTAGGGTATGTGGGAGGGTTATGTGCGTAGGGTATGTGGGAGGATTATGTGCGTAGGGTATGTGGGAGGGGTATGTGGGAGGGTTATGTGCGTAGGGTATGTGGGAGGGGTATGTGCG